ATTAGATTAAAATGAGTAATTAATGACGATATGGATGGTTTGGTTAAAAGAAAAAAAATAAAAAAAAGATTAGGGCCACTTTCAGTTTTTTTCAAGATATACATTGTAGTGGCGTTTTTCTCAGGGAGCTGTTATTCTTTTCAGAACCTGTTACATCCTTGAACCTGTTATTTCACCCTTGTAACTTTCTTAACCGCTCCCCCTTCTCCCATCTCTCTCTCTCTCTCTCTCTCTCTCTCTCTCTCTCTGTCTCTCTCTCTCTCTCTCTCAGTCGAAGTCAGTGGCCAGAAAGCCATAGAGAAAGGATGTATACCCAAGGCAGCATGTGAAGCAGAAAAAGCCACTGGATTGATGAAGTGCTGTGACACTGATCTGTGTAACAGTGCTGAGGGGGTTAAGCTGAGTCTCCTCATCATGCTGGTTCCTCTGATCTCCTCCATCCTCTTCATCTGAACTCTCTGCTTCTCCTCTCTCAGTGATTCATCTCTTACTGGAGTAACAGAAATATTATTACTGTTTAGAAACAGTCGTGTAATTTTCCTGTTTTCACATTTATTGCTCAGCCACACTCTGTGGTTTATGATAATTACTGTAACCTAATTGACAATAAACACGGTAGAGGCTAAGAGGCTGTAATGTAGTTTTATTTGTTTGAACTGAATAAATATGAATTCACTCACTTAAGGTGTTTTCACACCACAGTTGTTTTCCAAACCCAGGACCACTTGCTCTGCGAGGTTCAGGACATTTGGTCAAGTGTGAAAGCTATTTTCTTTCCTGGGAGCAGTCCAGAGAACTGACCTCTGGTCCTCCTGAAAACGCTGATCTTCTGGGTTTGCTTCCAGTGAACTCTGGTGTGGTCTGCTGCATGTGAAGCTATCTGCTCCTGGCGCCGCATGTGGGGTTGCATGACTGGTTCACTTCCTTTTTCGAGTTTCGTGATGACAGAGAAAGAAACTGTTGTGGACAGCTGAGGAGACAGAGTGCGTCAAATGGTACGAAGACAGCATTCAAGTGCACATGGAGACAATTCATAGAGAAATTCAATTGGTTTGGTATATAAACAATCAACTTTAACTCGTTCATCAACGTATGGTTCGAATTTAATTCGTCTGTGTGAAAGAATATGAGTCCCTCACCAAGACAACCCCAGTATTGGTACTGGGTGCGGACTAGGTATTCAGGACAACCTTAATTAGCAGACTGACTGAAATATGTCTTGATTTAACTTATTGGTACTATTATTAATTCAATGAGAAAAAAAAGTAGGTAACTGGATTGGACTGTATTTAACCCCTTAAATGGCCAGGGCACTTGGGTTAAAATAAGATAATCTGTAAGCTACAATTCTGAGTTGTGGTACTTCTATTTCTGGCGTGTCGTGTAAGGAATTACTATAAAAAGTGACAAATACAGAATCATTACAAATACAGGGTCTACTTTCAGTATAAATAAAAGATTTAACTGTCATACAGTATAATTATAATAGTGATAAATAAATAAAGTAACTAAATGCAATAACTGTTATACTGTTATACTGTCCTGTAAAACCAATCTAGACGTTTTAGGCTGTATGTTGGCTAACTTTTCTACTTTTGTAATGCAATCTTTCACATATTAACTGAGATTGTACTCATCTACTCTTTGGTCTTCAGTTTAAGAAGTGAGCAACAATTCACTCTTTCCACCTGTCTCATTGGGCATGTTTTCAGATTTATCGCATTCTGTAAAGATTTTCAAAGGGATCTCAGGCAGAGTTAAAGTTAGTAGGCAATGAAGGACCAATTGGGTGAACCAATTAACTGATACCATGTTCATGTGGCTGATGAGCTATAAGTAAAATAACACCTGATAAAACAATTATTATTACTGTATATTAGGATTATATTTTATTATCATACTGAACTACGTATTGAAGCTCTGTGTGAAGGAAGGTGTGCCCCAAGCCCCCTTAGAGCGGGGACAGAAGGGAGAGGCAGAGCTCCGGTCCTAGCACAATGGAAATCCTTCTGCTTTTCAGCCAACATAGAAAATTAAAGAACATACTCACCAGGACTTTTCAGGCCATGCTTTGCTTTACTTTGCTTTGCTTTGCTTCGTCTTGTTTAGTTTCGCCCTTGCGTCTCCACAGGCCAGCGTTGTTGCACTGGTATGAGTGGATCAGACACAGCAGTGCTGCTGGAGTTTTTAAACACTGTGTCCACTCACTGTCCACTCTATTAGACACTTCCAGCAGTGTATGATCCACTGAGCACTACATACTTACCTATAAATACCAGGTACCTGCCATATCATAAAAAGTTCCTGATAAAGCATGAGCAGACTGATTCATCAATCTGGAGAGCCACTTAATTAATTCAGCATTTGTGTGCTCTCTTAAGAGATGATTGAACTGAGCAGTCTCTTCAGTAGTGGACTTTCCTTTTGGTTACTTTTCTAACTCTTCATTTGTCGTCCTGTGAAAAGGCTGGGAGAATATCTGCTTCTTTATAATTTGTTTGTTGTGATTCCCGTTTTATTTGTTTGTTTGTTTATCTGTGAAGCTTTACAGGGCTCTGCAGGCGTTACCAGTGTGCAGGGCCGACATGTGATCCTAAACCCGTGACTTCCTCCAGCAAACACCTGCCAAACCACAACCAGTAAGAGACAAAGCTCAACCACATCTAAGACTCTACAGCACACGACTCACAGCCTCACAGCTGTTTGGTTATTGTAGCCAATTTGTGTGAAAAGTTGTGAGCAGTAAAGTTTAAGTCTACATTTTTATTTTGATATAAAAACAAAATCACTAGAGCTGATGCTAGAGTTGCTGTTGCAGGAGTTCTTGATGAGATCAAGTTTAAAATGCAGCATCAGTTTGCCAAAATGATTTCACTGTTAAGGCGTGTCTGAAAACATATATTCTATGATACTGAACTGGAGTTGAGGCTGGATCATCTCTGAATTAATCACATTTAAAAACTCATCTCCAAATATCTGCCTATTTATAATTCATCAGAAAAAGTCATTAAATATTCATTACTAATGTATTACTGAATGTAATGTTTCAATGAGCTGTAAGAATGATGACATTAAACTTTTAGTTCTGCAGAATCTCTCATATGTCATAACTTCATAATGCTATATTCATGTTAGCATTTTTACTGCCGTATCTTTAGAAATAATAAGGAAATTGTACTTCTTTCAGACACGTCACCATAAGATACAAGCAACATCTTCAAAAAAGCAACAACTATACTGTACTTCAAATTTTGGTCATTGAAAATACTGTATCTGAAGGTAAACATTTTTTATACTTTATATTAAGTGTCTCTAATAACTATGTAGATACATGTGAACAACATATGCAATAACAATGTAACTACTAATGATTTAGTCACTGTTACAGATGGATTACAGAAGTATATCTTATGTAATTACACGTGTATCAATTTCAGGTTTGCGTGTATCTTAATAGTTGTAACAGCCTATTCTCTCATGTAATTACATATGGGTAATAACAAATAATTACATTTGTAATCAGACTGGAACAGCAGTTTTTTCCAGAGGTTATTTTTTTCAGCAGTAAAATTATGTAATAATGTACATTAAGACATTAATTACACTGCATCTGCCAGCTTTCCTAACATTTAGCTAGCATTTATGTTGCTAGTGCTGTGACACTGTAACCAGTTTTATGTGAGCAGAAGAACCACGGGAGTGCCTCTGTTAACACCACGACACCAGACACAGTGCCTCACCAGGGCTTGTGAGGTTGCTAACTGTACCCTGAAAAAATGACATTGGGGCAGTCATGGGCTGGAGGTAAGGGAACCGGCCTTGTGACCAGAAGGTCACTGGTTCGATTCCCTGAGCCGACAGTACTTGACAAAAGTGCCCTTGAGCAAGACACCTAACCCGCAACTGCTCCCTAGGTACTGTGGATAGGGCTGCCCACCGCTCTGGGCATGTATTTATTTATTTATTTATTTTTATTTTTTTTCCAGGATTAGAGGAACATGAAAAAGTAAACATAAACTGAAGAAGGGATAAAAAATAAAGAAAAATAATCTCATCAGGTCATCACATTCACACAAACACATACAACCTCAAAGCAAAGGCGTAACTTAAGCAAAAGCTTTAGTTTACTTTACTAATTTGCTAAAATTACTAATACAAATCTTCTAACATATACCGTTCCCTGGTAAATCTAACTCATTTGGGTAAATCCTACAGACTGAAGCCCAAAAATCTTCCCAGCATTTTTAGCATTTTTTTTTTAGTTTCTGTTAATTAACTCTTATTTTTCTAATTTATAAATGTAATTCTCTTTGCAAAATGTCTCTCTCTCTCTCTCTCTCTCTCTCTCTCTCTCTCTCTCTCTCTCTCTCTGTGTGTGTGTGTGTGTGTGTGTGTGTGTGTGTGTCATGTCTGGATGTATTTTACATGCTCTTGTTTGCTCACAATGCTGGTGTTGTGCCGATCACCATGAACGCTACAGAATGACAAACATGCATTAAGAAATTAAGAGTCCTCAGAAATGGCTGATTTTAGTCTTATCTGAGCCATTCATTGGACAAAATGGAAAAAAACAATTCATTTATTGTAATGTATTTGCTTTAATTGATGCCAATACACTACTAATTCAAGTTAACCTAAGCTAAATGTGAGAGGTGGGCGGCGCCCTTCTCAAGGGCAATGTCACACCCCTCACAGAGACACTAAAGCCAAAGAACTGCTATTATTTCTGGGTGTTAGGAATATATTCTTAAACAAGGGATTCTATATTAAAAGATTCAAATTTGACTACAGGAGATAATCTGTATCACTTCAACAATTGAAGTGTTAATGCAACATGTTCTTTCATGGAAGACATTTGAAGTTGTGACTTCAGAACTACAAGAGTCAAGGGTGGAGGGGAGCTGTACCAGTGGAGAGTTATAAACAGTCCTCAAAGCCACACCTCCTTAGAGCTGTATGTATAAATGAAGTTCACTCTAATCTCTCCATCACACACTCAACTTCTCGAAACCTCCAACAATGAAGAAGCTGGTCACTCTGATGCTCGTCTACATGCTTTTCTCCGAAGGTACCAGTATTGAGTATCACATGCTTTATATTCAAATGCAGAGAGTTTTGTTTTTCAGAATGTTACATCTTTATTAAACATCCCTCTTCTATTTATAATCTACATTACATAGTTGTAATGTTGTACAGAGTGTTAGTAGGAATATAAGCCTAAAACAAATAATCATTATCAGTACTAAAAAATGCAAAACATCATTAGACTTTCAAACATTTACTTTTAAAGAGCTCATCTTATTCTAGAACAGAACAGTCAGTAATAATCATAAATCATTTCAGAATGAAAAACTAAATGTTAGTTTTGCTAGCTTTTCTCAGTCTTTGTGAAAAGTCTAGTCAAACATGCTTCTTTAAATTTGTTTGTTTAGATTTATGTTTCATTGTTTGTTTCTTTATCTGTGAAGCTTTACAGGCTTCTGCAGCTCTGAAGTGTTGCAAGGGTTTTGGGCCAGCATGTTTGCCTGTGGAGTGTTCTAGATTCGCTGCATGACCAAAACCGGTAAGAAATGAAGCTCAACCTCAAGCAAGACCTCCAACACATGACTCACAGTCTCACAGCAGTAAAGTTTAAGTCTACATTTTTATGAAATCAAAAGGAAATCACCAGAGCTGATGTTGTCTTTTTTGTGTTTTTTTTTTTTTGAGATGATGAGATCAGGTTTAAAATGCAACATCAGCTTTCCAAAACAATTTCAATATTAAAGCATGTCTGAAAAACAAATTCTGTAATACTGAGCTGAAATAGAGGCTGGATCATCTCTGAATTAATGAAATTCAAGAGCTCACATCCTCAAATATCTGCCTATTTGTAATTTATCAGGAAAAGTCTGTAAATGATCGTTACTAACACAGTAAATTTCAAATGTAATTGACGTAAACAATGAGCTGTACGAAAGTTGCATGTTGATGTTGCACCTTAAGTTCTGCAGAATCAGCTTCATAATGCTATTAATATTTTCATCATCAAATCTTCAGAAACATTAATAAAGTCATAATATTTTGAGAATAAAGTTGTAAAATTTCAAGAATGATGTCATAAAGTTACATGAATAAACTTGCGATATTTCGTGGTTAAAGTAGGTTAATTGTAGGGGGTATGCCATAACGCGTTGGGGTTGCTGTGCTGGTGAGGACGAAGACGCCGAGCATGCCGGAGTTCCACTCACTCCTTCAGGATCGATCATTTTCATGATCATTCTCACTGTCTGCTGTGAAACTACATGCCCTCTTTCAATGGCACTGCCATCTACAAGGCTAACTGCCAGTAGCCATGTGGGCGGCCACTGCCTGCGATTCTCCTTCAATAAAACAGGCAGTTTCCTCCAAGTCCATCTGGTCCTTTCTCCCAAACAAACACAGTTTCCTGCACAGCCGTTTCAGCCATTTCGTATACTAATAACAGTCTGATGCTGATGAGCCAGGAGAGACAGGGAGACTGAGTATTTCTTTATGGATGAAATCAATATGGAAGTATAACTCCACCAACTCCTCAACAGCCCTCATTTTAACAGGAGGAGGTTGCTGGCCTCCCTTTGCAAACCCTTTGGCCACAATATTGTGACTTTCCTCTTAATATCCCACTTTAATCGCAATTCTAAGACTTTATTCTCGACATAAATTCTCGAGTAAATTCAGATTCAGTTTCAGTGTTCAGTGTTTTATTGTTTAATGAATATCTGTAAATGGTTTTCAGCTCTGTATCTTTCTTACTCTCTCTCTCTTTCTCTCTCTCTCTCTCTCTCTCAGAGGGAATTATGAGCACACTGAAACTTCCTGAAAAAAAATGTTCAACCAGGGCTGAGTGTGTTGTGACACTAATATGTGTAACAGTGCTGAGGGGGTTAAGCTGAGTCTCCTCATCATGCTGGTCCCTCTGATCTCCTCCATCCTCTTCATCTGAACTCTCTGCTACTCCTCTCTCAGAGATTCAACTCTAACAGGTGTAACAGAAATAGTGCAAATATACTGTCTGGAAACAATTACATAATTTTACTACATTTATCAGCTGTACTCTCAGATAAAATGTGATAAATGTAATAGATTAGAATAGATTATACTGTAACTTCTGTAATGTCTGCGTATCAGTAAACAGTGTGAAGAGCCTTAGAGCTGAATAAATAAAATAACTTTCATCTGAAAGTGTGATTTAATTAGCAAACTGACTAAATTGAGTTTTTCTTGCACTCGTCACCATCATTAATTCATTGATATAAAGCCTAATGTCCAAGGTACAGTGTTTAGGACTCACTTTCCTCTTGACTGAAATGGAGCTGGAGAGATGGCAGCGTGTTAGTAAATACTGTACATGCAGTAAATGACGTCTCACAGCTGTAAGTAAAATAATGCCTCATTTATAGTTAAAAAACAGCAATTATTATTATTAATACTATTATTATTATTAGTAGTAGTAGTAGTAGTAGTAGTAGTAGTAGTAGTAGGCTGGCCTGGGCAAGCACCCTACACTATACCAATAACGGTCCTTGGGCAAGACTCCTAACACTACCTTCGCCTTCCTGTGTAAAATGATCAAATTGTAACTTGCTCGGGACAAGAGCATCTGCCAAATGCCGTAAATGTAAATTTCTAAACATTCATGCAACTAGTTGCATGTTGTGAGTTGCCTGAAACAATTTTGTGCGACTTCACTGTTACACCAAACAATTCAAAAACCAATTTGCATGAAAAACATTCAATTTCTCCACTAGTTTAACCAGATCTGCAGCTCATATTTTTGGTACATTGCCACTGCATTGGTGCAGGATCTTAAAAAAACAACAACAATGCCCCCCATAAGAAAATGACTTGCAATTAATAAAAAAGGACAATGTAATTTCCATCATCTCAAATGATTTGATACTCTTAAGACACTCCACCCGCTAGCATCTACTGTTACATGTTTGTTAGGTTACCTATTTGGATTGCTATTATTAAGTGAGGTTATTTATTATGTAGGTTAGATGAGTACAGCTAGAAAAATGTAGGTTTGTTTCCTGACTTCTCGCTGTACATCCATCGTACATCCAACAGCAGCACCTTTAATTTAATGAAGGACTGATTAGAGAAACTAGTTACTGGATGGTAACTGTCAATACTGGGACTCCTCGAGACAAGCTTTCTTACACAGACACACATCAAATATCAATGGATTGTTAATTTATTTGTATTTATTCTAATGTTAGTGTTTTTGGAGCAAATAAACTCTTACCACACAGATCAATGGCTTTACAGATCATTTTCTCAGATGCCTGAGACTTTTACACAGTAATATGTGTATTATAACATTATTGTTAATTTAAAATAAGAAGCAATTCAAAACTATTAAGCTGTATAAATGTATCATATGACACCAAATAGCTTACTTAACCATGACACCCATCCATGAAGTATGACATCACCATAATCAGCTCATCCACTGGATGTGTAAATAATGCTCAATTAAATATGAAATTTTAAGTGCCTGGACCTGTGAAGTTAAACATCAGTCAAGCCTTTAAGTCTGTGTGCACAGAAAGGTTACACATGACTGAAGGCGGTTCTGTTACACATGACTGAAGGTGGTTCTGTTACACATGACTGAAGGTGGTTCTGTTACACATGACTGAAGGTGGTTCTGTTACACATGATTGAAGGTGATCCTGTTACACATGATTGAAGGCGGTTCTGTTGGTTCTTTTAGTGTAAAAAACAGTTGTAAGATGGCAAAGCTAGGAAGCAGATGCTGAACACACCATCGTTAATGAACTCTGAGGTAGAGTCTGAAAATGAGTAATGGAGATCATCTCGGTCAGTGGTGGATTAGGCTGATTTGTCTTGATGGAGGGAAATAGCCTACAGGATATTAAAGACTGACCTGTTGCTTTCATGCTGAATAAGTTATTCTTAGCACACTCTCTCCTTCCTTCTCAGCTCCTCACTTCTCTCCTCCTTTTTATTCATTTTGAAGATGGGAACACAAACAGTGATGCTGTAGGGTTCACTAAGTTAGCTGCCAGCTAGTATTACTACATCTCTGATCTAATACCAGTTGTTATGTGTGTACCATGCATGTGCTTTTATATGACCACTCACTTGACAGATCAGGGTCAGAGGGGTGTGGAACTTTTTTTTAATGAACATATTAATGAATGTGGCTGTGCTGCACGGCCCAACTGACAGGGGCTCAATAAAGTAAATTGGGGGACTGGTTGCTGAGGGCACCCCTGCATCATGGGCCCCAGTACGAAAGCAACTTTATACTTAAGTTGATATAACCCTGGATCATTTCTCTCATAACGGTGGATCACTGTTTAGATGGACACATCAACATGGCAGCTTATGCTGCAAATCTAATCTACTACAAGGCAATAAACACAACACAACGGCACCCTTCACGCATGTGTCTGCTCACCACAGGCACAATTTCTGCCCAAATGAAGACAACATAACTGAGTTAAAAACAGTCATACAGCTGAGGTGTACAAAGACAAGGAAAAACAACATGCCAAACTTAAAAACCTAACCATCCCAGGCTAAAGCATACTGCCACAGTGGGCTTAAAAACACTCATGTCTTACTTTTAATGATTTGATGCATTGAAGTAAACATTTGCTTTGACATTTTGATTCAGTTCATTTTAGCATTTGTAGTTAAAGAGCACTTCAAGCAAAATTTGCAGACCTTCATATTCTTGGCTCAAGACAATGGCGGATAGGAACAGTTGGCAAGCAGTGAGCGGAGGGCTGAGAAAATAAGGTGGAGCATGATAATTTGATTGGCCATTATCCAGTGACAGCACTGACACAAACAAATCAATTTATTTTTATTTATTTTATTCTAAAAATGAAGCTTAATAAATATTCTGTCCCTGTTTGATTGAGTGGTCCTGTGATTAATGTTGTGGTGGTCCTTACAGTAATAAAGATGACCACAGGCTATAAACACACTTGTAGACACTCAGAGCTCAGAGTCTGAATCAAACTCAGCAACTGACGATGACAGAAGAAGGAGGAAGCGTACAAGAAATAACAAGGAAAGCAAGAAATCTAAGAAGGACTAAAAGCAGAAAAGCATCAAGAAAAGAGAACGAGAGGTTTTCTCCAGTTTGAGAATGGAAACTATGTAGAGGATCAACTCATATACACATTGACATGCAGGGTTGAGGAGTGTATACGTGAGTGCTTAACCTATGTTCCTGTGTAATTTCATACTCTAATGACAAATATAAGTTTTCATTCCATGTACATTTATAAAATGTCTTAATTTGTCTGAAATTAAATTTTACAAATTCAAGGCCCATACCTTGAAGAAAAACTAGCTTTCCTGAGTGTTAGAAGTAAGAGTTTGATGTAGTATACAGAACCACACTTTCTCTGCACAGATCATAAAACACGTTCCATTTCAGCTTTAACACCAACACCAGAACACCTACCCTCCTACCCTCAAAACAGTTTCTTGTAGTTGTGTGCACTTTCTTTAAAATAGGTGCACTTTTTTTATTATCCTCAAAAACAGGCTTCATTAGCTTTTCTTTCTCTCTCGTGCTCTCAGCAGCGCCTGTTAAACACCATGCACTCAGATCACAATAAAGCTGTTACACTACACAGACTATACAACCCTAAAATTGTGAATAGAAGTTAAAGCTCTTCTTTAAAAACAACCAAATGCACGCAATGGCGCTTTAACCTCGTCTTATTAAGCAAAAAAAAACAATTGTCCTCTGAACAATTAGCATTCCACCTTAACGTTCCACCTTAACAGAACTCGCGGCCAACAGCAAGTAGAAACGTACTAAACCCACATAAAAGTGTTTTAACTGCACAACAGCATAACCAGTGCGTGAGATAATGTTTTAGTGATTGAATGAACTCATTTTATGTTGAAAACAGGAAAATACAAATTGTGTTTTAACTCAAAATTACGGAGCTGCGCCACCACATACCTTCTCTCACAGTGGCATTTTCCAAAGAGGACGAAAGGTGGGGCTACAGCTTACTTCGTACTCCACTCACGTAATGGCTGCTAAAACTCCGCCCATATTGAACTTCTAGTAAACCAGACTTCTCTCTTATACATTCCTCAAGCTAAACAATTTGCAGTACACAAAAGAAACAATAAAATAAATAAAACTAAGAAATTTACAGAAAGAATTTTACATTTAATAGCCCCCCTTTCTCTCCTCAATGAATTGCTCCAACAGTTAAAAGCCCTTGCTGATTTCAAAATAAAATCCCTGAAGTGAGTAATCTAGTGTAACAACATCACACTGCCACATAATCCCAAAAATGGGTGCACTTTCCTCCTAACGGTTGTGCTAAGCTCAAAATGGGTGCACTTTCCTTTGAACAGTTCTACTAATTCCAAAATGGGTGCGCTTTCCTACAAATAGTTGCACTGTCCTCTTAACTCTCGTACTGTCACCAAAACAGGTGTATTATCCTCAAAATGGGTGTATTACCCCAAAACATGTGTAATATCTTTTGAACGGTTGTACTCACCCCAAAATGGGTGTATTACCCCAAAATGGGTGCACTTTCCTTTTAACGATTGTACTAACCCTGAAAAGGCTGTACTTTCCTCTTAACGGTTGTGCTAAGCACAAAATGGGTGTGCTTTCCTTTTATCATATATACTAAATCCAAAACGGGTGTACTTTCCTCTTATTAGTTGTACTAATACCAAAACAGGTGTTTTATCCTCAAAAACGAGTGCACTTTCACCTTAACAGTTGTACTCACCCCAAAAGGGGTGCGCTTTCATTTTAACGGTTGTATTAACCCCAAAATGGTTGCACTTTTCTCTTAATGGTTGTACTAACCACAAAATGTGTGCACTTTCCTCTTAACAGTTGAACACACCCCAAAATGGGTGCACTTTCCTTTTAACGGTTGTACTAACACCATAATAGGTGTATTATCCTCAAAAAGGTGCACTTTCCTTTGAACAGTTGTACTAACTCCAAAACAGGTGCACTTTTCTTTTGACAGTTGTTCTATCCCCCAAACGGGTCCTAAAGACAGATGCGTTGTCCTCTTAACTCTTGTACTGTCACCAAAACAGGTGTATTGTCCTCAAAACGGGTTTACTTTCATTTTAACGGTTATAATGTCCCCTAAACGGATTTACTATTGTCA